ATGTGGTTGCTAGGGTGTTGTTCAGTTGCTAGGGTGTTATTTGTTTGCTAGGATGTTGTTTGGTTGTTAGGTGGTTGCTAAGGTGTTCTGTGTGATTGTTAGGGTGTTATTCAGTTGCTAGGGTGTTGTTTGTTTGCTAGGATGTTGTTTGGTTGTTAGGTGGTTGCTAAGGTGTTCTGTGTGATTGTTAGGGTGTTATTCAGTTGCTAGGGTGTTGTTTGTTTGCTAGGATGTTGTTTGGTTGTTAGGTGGTTGCTAAGGTGTTCTGTGTGATTGTTAGGGTGATATTCAGTTGCTAGGGTGTTGTTTGGTTGCTAGGGTGTTCTGTGTAAAAATGTACAATCACAGTAAAAGTGATGCTTGTCTTAGTACACGCTTTTCTTCTTTAGTTGGATAGAGTTATATCGTGTTAACATGCAAACTGTCCTAAGGCTTTAGATTGGTCGGTTCAGTGAAAATAAATGATGAAGAACAGCAGCAGGTTATCAGACGGACAGATGAACAGAAAGCTGCTGTGGCAGCCGCTCGATAACAGTTCATCCTTCAGCAGCATTAAACTGTAAGTCACAGAGTCTGACTGAAACTCCTCACAGAGGAACAGAATCAGTGTGAAGTTATCACGACATCAGGACTGAAGAGGAAGAGCTGATGTTTGAAGAAATTACATTACCAGGTGCTTCATTAACGCCTCGTTTCTGTGGTGGAATGTCCTTCTTACAGATAAAGAAGAAGTTTTCATTTGTGCCACATGCTTTCATCTCTACATCACTCACACACTTCCTTTTGTGTCATTTCACAGTTTTCATCACTGCAGCATTGTTGTACATTATCAGATATGTAGGAAAATTTAAATTTCTTAATTAAAGTACTTTATTTGATACTTTGTAACAACAACCATTAAAAAATCAAATAAGATGAATCATATATGGTTTGTGCTATTGTTTGACAAGAGGTTATGTTATATGTTAATTTATGCACGCCCCCCGTGCGCTGATTGGACGCTGGTGGCTGTAGCTCCGCCTCCCGCGAGTCCGCGTTTCATGGCAGTCGGATCTCTCTCACACACACACACACACACAGTACTTTATTTGATACTTTGTAACAACAACCATTAAAAAATCAAATAAAATGAATCATATATGGTTTGTGCTATTGTTTGACAAGAGGTTATGTTATATGTTAATTTATGCACGCCCCCCGTGCGCTGATTGGACGCTGGTGGCTGTAGCTCCGCCTCCCGCGAGTCCGCGTTTCATGGCAGTCGGATCTCTCTCACACACACACACACACACACACACACACTCGCGTGAATTACAGCAGAAACACACACGCGTGCGGTGATCTCCGTGAGTGTGTTCGGGATCTGATGGATGATGGATGTGAAGGACTGTGGCGGAGTGATTCTGACTGCGTTTCATTCATTCAGGATTCACGGAGATGAGCGGAAACACGCAGCAGACAACAGGTCAGAGACTCTCTCAGAGACACACACACACACACACACACACACTCACACACACACACAGACTCACACACACACACACACACACACAC